TCCCTCTCATCTCGGCAAGGTAGAAACTCCACACAAGATTGCAGCAGCCAAAAACACAGGGATCCCTCTTTTTTCAGCTCCCAATTAGAGGGGTTTCTTTCCTGGAGTAGCAGGATGCCAGAGTTTCTCATTCTGTCTCCTGCAAGATACCTGTTGCTGAGGCTAAGTCCCAGACAAGTGTGGTTAAGAGGTGAGGACTCCCTTCTCCCATTCAGCCCTCACTCAGGGAACAGAGCCTCCACTTTGGACACTGCATGGTGAGAACACTGGGACCCTGATCTACCTTGCCCCAGCTCATGAGGCCGTGGCTCCACACTAGAAAGGTTGAGAAGACCCTAAGCTGCAACACTTCCCTCCCCTATTTTCCTCCCACCCCAACAAATGTTCATCCACTAAAATGTGGGTGTCACTCAGAGACAAAATTGCCACTATCCCCATCCCTAACTCCAGTGCCCAAGCACAGAGATTTTGCTTAGGGGAAGGGTCAGCCCATAAACAGACAGCTCCTAATCTCTTCCAAAGGAACTGACTTCATTTACAACAGAGCACAGAGAAGTTCAAATATAAGGGTACTCTCAAAAACAGTGAAGACTGTAGTGAAAGATAATTAGAAAGATAATCAAAATACAAGCTAAACTGCAGACCTGTTAGTTTGCAGTAAAGAATGTAGAATAAGACAGCTGGGAGCAGCTAAATTGGAGTCACAACAAACATCAAAACCTCAGAAACTTCTTCAAAGGAACAAGAATTTAATTGAAACAGTTTGTAAGGCAATTTATGCCCCAGGGTTTGGTAAAAACAACAGAGCAATCAGCTGACAATTACTGGATTCTGGTTGGGGAAAGAGAGAAAAGAAAAGAGATCCCTACCAAAACCACTGTCACCCCAGGATAACTGTGGGCACATCCAAAGCTGAGCTTCCCTGAGGAGCAACATTAAGGGCTTAACATTGTGGGAGGGAAATAGATTTCACTAAATCAATCCAGTCAGTTGCTAAACACATAAACAAGGAAATAACAACAATAAACTCCAGAAGGTAATCTGCCAGCTCTTCATCTCTACAGAAATCCCCATAACTAATCAGATGGACACTGATCTGCACACATGTGCAATTTTCCACAAAATCTAAAAGGATTCCAAAGTAAGATGTTCACTTAAATTTTTTTAAAAAGAAGCAAATAGTGAGATAAAATGAAATTTAAAATTTCACAAAGGTAGGCAATTCTAGTATGATTTCTAGTTGAGAGCTAAGAAAACATCATCGAGAAATGCTAGGATTTGAACTCAGGTAGCCTAAATTCAGATTGACTCTTAACCACCTTTCTATGATACCTGCTGATCAAAGGTAAAAGAGAGTAAAACATTTTATCATGTAGCTAGGTGTGGTGGCTCATGCCTGTAATTCCAGCACTTTGGGAGACTAAGAGGGATTGCTTGCTCCCAGGAGTTTGAGATCAGCCTGGACAACGTCACGAGAACTCATCTCTACAAAAAATAAATAAAAGTAAAATAAAATAAAATAATTAGCCAGATGTGGTGGTGCTCGCCTATAGTTCCAGTTACTCGAGAGGCTGAGGTGGAAGGATCTCAGGAGTCCAGGAGGTTGAGGCTGTGGTGAGCTGCAATTGTGTCACTGCATTCCAGCCTGGGCAACAAAAAGTATATCATGTTGCAGTCATACAATTTTATAGACTTCCACTGTAAAAATTAATTCAACTTTGAGGTCCTCTTTGTGTCCACCTAAAAATATGTTGAAGACTATTCACAGCAGCTTTATTCATCACAGCCCTATCTAGAAACCCAAATGTCCATCAACAGGAGAATAAACAAATCATGGTATATTCCACACAGCAAGGAAAAAGAACTGCTGTTATATACAACGATGAATAATGTTCACAGACATAACGGTCAGTAAAAGAAACCAGAACAACAAAAAAAAGGAATTCATATTGTACTGTTTATATTGTTTCAAGAATAGGCAAAACTAATTAGTGGTGATAACAATCAGCAAAGCTTGGGAGTGAGGCAGTTATTAACTAGGAAGGGCCACAGGAAAATTTCCAGGAGTACAGGAACAGTTTTATTTCTTGATCTTGGTAGCGATTACATGAGTGTATTCATATGTAAAAATCTACTGAACAGTAGTCTTAAGGTTTGTGCCCTCTACTGCATGTAAGTTGTACCTCAACAAAATAGTTAATTTCTTAGAGGATCTTCCTGCTTTAAAAAGACTATCAAGCTGGCGCAGTGGTTCTTGCCTGTAATCCCAGTACTTTGGGAGGCTGAGGAGGGAGGTAAACACCAGCCTGGGCAACATAGCAAGACCTTATCTTTACAAAAAATTAGCCAAGTGTGGTGGCGTGTATGTGTTGGGAAGCTACTTGGGAGGCTGAGAAAGAAGGATTGTCTGAGTACAGGAGGTTAAGGCTATGGTACATTATAATCATGCCACTGTACTCCATCCTGAACAGAGTGAGACCCTGTGCCAAAAAATAAAAATAACCAATTAGCCACACATGCTGGCATATACCTGTAGTCTCAGCTACTCAGAAGGCTGAGGTGGGAGGATCCCTTGAGCCCAGTAGTTTGAGGCTGCAGTGAGTCACTGCATTCCAGCCTGGGCAACAGAGTGAGACCGTGTTTCTAAAAATAAAAATAATTAAAAATACAAATAAACAAAGAGCCAATGCTTTACTCTGCAGTCTAGATAAATATTCATCAGTCATTTCCCTAGACATGATACAGTTCAGAAAGGTAATCTTAAACTCAGTCAGTTTCATAAGGGTAATATTTCACTTTCTCATTTTTCTAGTTTCAGTCAGCAACCCATAGTGACAGTGTCACTAGAGATAGCTTTCATGGGCACAAAATAAAAGTTGCAAAGAGCACTACAAGGACTCTCTTCTCTCATGTGTTCCCATTTCATGCTCTGGCTCCGGACAGTTGCGAATGTAAGAAGCACTTTACCTGGGATGCCATCAACCTCAACTTTGCTAACAAACTTAAGGAAGTAAAAAAGTTCCCCATGGCATCACCACCATCATAAAGGGGAGCTGTGAATACCCTTGCTCCCACTAGTTTAAGAAAAGTTCTCAACTTCAGTTTACAGAAAGGACAGAGCCCTAAAATAGATACTCACAAACAAATATCACTTTTTTTTTTTTTTTTTTTTGAGTTGACCCAGCCACCGCAGCCTCAACCTGCTGGGCTCCGGCCATCCTTCCGCCTCAGCCTTCCGAGTAGCCAGAATTACAGGCATGCGCTACCACGCCCGGCTGATTTTTTGATTTATTGTAGAGATGAGGTCCCGCTGCCCAGGCGGGTCTCGAACCCGCGGGCTCAGGCAATCCACTCACCTCAGCCTCCCAAAGGCGCGGGATTACAGGCTGAGCCACCGAGCCCAGCTTCACTTTTTCTTTTTTCTTTTTTTTTTTTTTTTTGAGTTGGAGTCTCATTCTGTTGCCAAAGTTGGAGTGCAGTAGCATGCTCACGGCCACAGCAGCCGCGACCTGCTGGGATCAGGCGATCCTTTTGCCTCAGCTTTCCAAGTAGCTGGGACGTGCCAATATGCCCGGCTAATTTTTTTTTTTTTGATAGAGACGAGGTCTCACCATGTTGCCCAGGCTGGTCTTGAATCCCTGGCTCAGGTAATCCTCTTGCCTCTGCCTCCCAGTGCTGGGATTACAGGTGTAGTCACCGTGCCCAGCCCAAATATCACTTTCAAATAAGCAGATGCTCTATTTATGTCACAGGCCTCAATTATTTTGCTTGAGTCTAGATTTACTAAACTTATCTATGAGGTGGAAACAAGGAACAAGTACTGTGATAGTGCAGAAAACAGGATGAACATTTCCATCCAGTCGTGCACCAATCTGCACATTCACAGTCCCTGAATACTGAAAATGGTGAAGGAAAAGGAATATTTTAGATGGAAAAATGTAACATAATGAAGTGTCCAGATAATAAAGTGATCAACTTAAAAGGTTAATATAATTTTTAAAACATCAAAAACAATTACAAATAACAGGGAGCTAGAAACATTAACACTATTGCAAGGCTCACATGCCAGAAGTTCACAATTTCTTCAATCATCTAACACAGGTCCCCCCTCATTACCATTCGGATCGTTCGCAGGGATCCCATTAAATCTGCTCATAACCCCCTTTAAAAAACAAGGCTCCTTAAGGGATTAGGCAATGTAAGAAGTAGCGCATGTACACAGGAACAGCAAACGATAAGAAATTAGTGAAAATAGAAGGGCTTATCAAATGCAAAAATGACAGTGTTCTACTCCCTGAAAAAAAAAAGGAAGAAATTGGACGGGTCTTCTTCAGGCGAAATTAGAGATTGTGAGACTACAACGACATCGCTGATATCTGTGTTTTAAAATCCTATTATCTAAGGAGAGGCTATCTAAAAGAAAAATTAATGGAACATCAGAAGGGTGGAAATATGCAGAAGGTGTTGAGAGAAAAGTCGACCCTCAGGCAAGGCTACCCAGAGAGGTAGTCTTGGTCGGGAAGAAGCCAGCGAAGAAACGACAGAACTGAGACAAAGGGACGAACAGGTTCACTGGTCATCCGGGCGCCTAGAACTGGGTCAGGCTCCTCCTAGCAGGCACCTAATACCCAGAAGACAAGGATGAAAGCTGTCCCGTCGGCGTATTGGACAGAGAAGTGCAGAGAGAGAGATTCCAAACGCCCCTGCCACTCAACCAGCCCTTGCAGTTCATACTCGCGGGCGACCAGAGGCAGCCGTCCTTTCACAGCTGTATTTGAGAACAAGGTTGAGGACTTACTTTTGCAGCCGGGTGCCATAGCGCCCTCCCTCCTTGATCCCGAGACCAAAACAGTCGACGCTCCCACCCCCCAGTCGCGCCGCACGACGGGATCCCGCTCACTCAAGATGGCCGCCAATTTGAATTTGGCGCTTGGCTCAGACGTTGACGCCAGCACGGAGGCCGCCATGCTGCCCGACCTATGCGTAGGGGGCGTGGTCAGGTGACGTAACAGACTAGCGCCGTCGCCTTTATAACCTCACGAATCGGCCCATAGACTTGTTTTTCCTCAGAACTGCCATGAGCAAGCGAAATCAGGTGTCATACGCGCGGCCGGCTGAGCCAGCGTTCCTGGCCCGATTCAAGGAGCGGGTCGGCTACAGGGAAGGGCCCACCGTGGAGACCAAGGTGAGCGCAGGCCAGTCGCGTTACTTGGGAAGCGCGGCCACTCCGCCACTTCCAACCTCTGCCTGGCCTTGGAGGCCAAGCACTGTCGGCTTCCTCCTTACACCCGCGCCGGGCCCCCGATGCGGGTGGGGTTTGGATCCCAGGCTGGACCTTTTCTAGCGACTACAGCTTCCTGCGCCCAGGAAGCTCTGTTGTTCTCAGAGCGCTGCTGTTCTTGAAAATGATCTGACGTGGATTAAGCCCGTCGTCCTTAGTAAATGGTAAAGAAACATCACTTTCCTGTCTCTTCTTTCTTACTTGCTTATTTCAAAACGCGCGAGTTAGCAGAGTGAGTGATAGCGTCGTCCCTTTTTCCAGATAAGGAAACAGGCCACTCGATCAAATGACCCGGTGGCCTAGGGCTCCAAACCTAAGAATCATCACTATTAGCTTCCAAGAGTAGCTCCAGACCAGTGGATTTCTGGTTTCCAAAAGCACTTCCTTAGCAAGTGTGTATCAATTGCCTTCTAAGAGTAGTTCTCAGACTAGCACCTCACCGTTGCCTTCTAAAAACTCACAATCAAGCGAGAGTTCTGTCAGATTCTCTTGTTGCAAGTTAGCCAGTGAAGATGTAAAACAAGTAATCATTCTTCAATAGACTGTATAAAACGGCGGCATGGAAGGTGGTAGCTGTTGGCGGCTTTAGTCCCAATGTGAATCATGGCGCGCTCCTAAACGCAGCTACTGAAGCTCTGAAAGCAACACTGGATGTATTTCTGTCCCACTAAAAGGACTGGCAGATCTGCCTCAAAATAAGAATTCTCAAGAAAGTACTGTTTATGAATTGAGGTGTAAGTCTGTGTATTTGGGCGCTGGCTGTGGAAAAAGCAAGGAACGTGCAAACGCAGTCGCATCAAGAGAAGCACTGAAGTTATTTCTAAGAAAAAGGTGGTGGTAAAAACATGTAAAAGGAAATACAGAGGCAGTGAAATAGAAGACCTAGTACTCCTTGATGAAGAATCAATCCCTGTAAACTTACTTCTGGCATTAAAGCATCCTCAATAATTACTCTAATATGTTCAAAATATCACTGCATATATCTGGTATTTGGAAAGGAAAAATTGGCTTTCACAAATTTTTTATTGCTTTTTTCCAGTTTTGCAGAAAATTTACATTCTAGTTCACTTCATACAGAAGTTGTAAATAATTTATGAATGACAGTTCACATTAAAAAGTGTGTATTAACAGCATACTAGTATGCTATTTTAGTTTGTTGAAGAAAATACTGTCATCTATTTTTAATGAAACATTAGGTACATGTATAGTTCTGTAGCGTCTTAAAATTTTTGTACTACTTTCATTTTGGTGAAAATATACTAAGTTGTCTAAAATACCTATTTTTTGTAGCTGAGTAAACCACATCAAATATAAGGGACCACAGCATTTGAATGTCAGAACGTCAGTAAAGCTTAAGGTTTTGAAAATGTTGCCCTTGATGTTGAATGTGTCTAAAAAAATAAAAGGGACAACCCCTTCGAGTCCCCTCCTGCTGTGGGAGCTTTTCTGTCCTTTCAATAAATCCTGCTTTCTAAAAAATAAATAAATAAATAAAAAGAAAAATAGTTGCCTCAGGCTATAAGAAGTTATAAGCATTATTTAGATATAAAGCCATATAAAATGTTATTGTTATTTACTCTGAAGTTGTTTAAAATTCATTATGATTTTGACCACTGCAGATTCTTTAAGCAGGGTAATTTATTTTTTGGATGGAATACAACTTACACTTTTTCTTAAAGACATAAATGTGGGTTTCTATATTAAGCATATTTTGTGACAACAATTAACAGATTGATTTAACTTTTAAGTGCTTTAAGCTATTTTACCTTTTCCAAAAAAAGAAAAACAAAAGTGCTGCTCCAGTGATTACATGAATGATAAAAAAGTGGAAAACCTTATTGCTGATATGAAGAAAGTCTTAGTGGGCTGCATAGAAGATCAAACCAGCCACTATAGTCCCTTAAGGCAAACCTCTCCAGATACTCCTCTGTTCTTCTCTTCACTTTATTCATATCTCACCTATAATACTTGTTTTGTATTGCAACTACTTGCTCTCCTGTATATCTCTATCACCAGATTAAGTGGTATCTAATTAGTATCTTAATCTCTCTGTATTTCCTAGCACCTAGTACAGTACCTGGCACTAAGTAGTGGGTGACAGGTATATTGGTTGGATGACTGTGATTGTCTTCAGGCAAGGCTTCATGGTGGAGGGGATATATGGATTCAGTCTTGAGGCTGGGTAGGTCAGCACATAGAGGTGGAGGTCAGCATGGGTAAAGGTAGAGATTGTGAGTCATGGACTGTATGTACAAGTGCTAAAAGGACTAGTGGGGGTAAGGCTGTGTGGACTATCAGTATACAACAAGCCATTTAATCCTAGAGGTGACATGGTCAAGGAGTGTCAGGTTTGCATGACCAAAAATGGTGATAATGACAAAGAGAATGAGGTTTGAGAGAGGGACATGGATTCAGTAATGGAGAGAACATGAAACCTAACTTTGCTTGAAGTCCTGGTGATGATCATGTGCACATAGTTGACACCTTGAAGGTTGGAAGAGCTTAGGAGAACTTGGGGAAAACTTACCAATTAATAGCAGTGATTTTGGTTCATTTATTTAATCAAGAGACTTCCTTAGAGAAAAGAAAGTCCCATTTTCCAGTCTGAAGGATCCACTTCGTTTTCAATCATTTAGGCAATATACAGTATTCCCTCCTTATCTGAGGTGGATACATTCCAAGACCCCTAGTGGATGCCTGAAACTGCAAGATAGCACTGAATCCTATGCATACTATGTTTTTTCCTAAAACTATGATAAAGTTTAGTTTGCAAATTAGGTACAGTAAGAGGTGAGTGATAATAGCTAATAATAAAATAGAACAATTTTAACAAATACTGTAAAAAAGTTTAGGACAATGTGGTCTCCTTCTCTAAATATCCTATTGTACTGTACTTATTCTTCAGGCTTCGGTAGACTGTGGGTAACTGAAGCCATGTAAAGTGAAATTGAGTATAAGGAGAGACTACTGTAATCAGCATTGTAGTGATTTTTTTTTTTTTTGGTCGGAGTCTCACTCTGTCGCCCAGGCTGGAGTATAGCGACAGGCTCACAGCCACTGCAGCTTTGACCTGCTGGGCTCAGGTGATCCTTCCACCTCAGCCTTCCAAGTAGCTGGAATCACAGGTATGCGCCACCATACCTGGCTAATTTTTTATATGTTTTGTAGAGAAAAGATCTCACCAAGTTGCCTAGGCTGGTCTCGAACCCCTGGGCTCCCGCAATCCTCTCTCCCTTCTTCCCAAAATGCTCGGATTACAGGTGTGTGCTGCCGCACCTGGCAAGCATTTTAATGATTTATTAACAACAACAAAAGAGTTCCATGGGAATTGTATAATTAAGCTAAGCTAATCTTATTCACCTTCTTGAGAGTTAATTCAGGAGTGGCTCTGAACAGTCCTCAATGGCTGCGGCCACTGTTCCCAGACTGTTTCTCTTGTTTTCCAGCCAGGCACATAAATAAAAAGAGAAAAGGCAAAAATTAATGAAAATAATGATTCCCAGTCTAATGGACACCAGGAATTATTTTATTTCACTTTCCCATACCCTTGGCTATAAGTACTTATTAATTACCTACTTGTTTGTGGTCATGTATTGAAAACTTTCAGAGAAAAATAGGCAGAACATGGATATCATTAAAGAGAATGTGCTTGTCGAATATTAGAGCAAACTTGGGAATTGAAAAGTAGACTAAATAAATGTGCTGTAACTTGCCAGGGTCTTAGGTAGTTCATTTTTTATCCTCTTGGTCATTCATGAGTAGATCAATACATATTTCTTGAGTCCCTGCTTTTTCCAGGCTCTGTGCCTCTACATATGGAGATGAAATACATAGTACCTCTCTAAAAGGAACTTGCCTAATGGAGACAAACAGAAAAACAATAATAACACAGTGTGACACATGCTACCTCTGAGCTATGCACAGTGTAGGAAAGAGGAGGAAGAAAGAGGAGGAAGTGAGATGAGATGAGCACTTCTAGAAGATCTTAGTATTGAAGGCAGCTTAAGTAGGAGTTGGCCAGGGGAAGTGGGACTTTCTAGGTATTGAGAATTTGTTCAGAGACAGAGAAGCCAAAGGAACTGATATGTTCATGGATTACCAGCTGCTCACACCTGGCTGGAGTCTAGACATCATGAAAGAGTGGTACAGGATAAAACCATAGTTACAGTTGAAAGTCATATAGGGCTTTGTTGCCCTGTTTAGAAGACAAAGGATAGTCTGTGAGAAGTGGAATAACAAGCTCCTGTATTTTAACAATATGTGAAAACACATTTTGGTGTGCATACTTTTCAATCCACCAATTCCACTTCCAGGAATTTTTCTCACATAAGATGTCCCCCCCAAAAAAAAAGTGTACAAGGTTTTTTGTAGTAGAAAAAACTAGAAATACCCCCAATTTTTTATTTAATGGTCAAGTAAATCATGAGATGGCCATATATAATTAAATACAAGGAAATTATCTTTAAAAATCAGATCATGCTATGTTTATCTCACAGTTCTATGCAAAGATTTTTTAAAATTATTATTTTTCTTTCTAGTAAAAAAGTTTGGGAACTGGGGATTTTTTGGTATCTGGCATTTAAAAATTCTGAATCAACTGGCAAAATGTTACATGTATACAGTGAGTATGTGGTTTCTGTTATGTTATTCTCTGTATTTTATGTTTGAGAAATAATAAAGCAAGTCAGTAAATATATACAGTATTCTGTTTGCATACAAAACATTTATACCTACATATTTGTATTCTTGCTATTTGGAAAATAGCTGTATTTGTATTTTATATACCTATATATTAGGTATCCTTGCTATTTGGAAAATAGCTGATAAGGTAGCTACCAAACTAAAGCTATAAGGAGGGGGATTATTTTCTTGTCTAACTTGGGAGAGACAGAGGTGAAAAATACTGATGAGGAGCAGAGAGAACCGGTGTAGTGCAATGCTGCCCAGAGTAGGCTAGGAGTGACAGCAGGACCCAAAGCAGAGAGCCCCTGATACTAGTAACTGCATGCTGGGGTACCTATTGAGGTAGACATGAATCCCACTGGACAGGCACCCCAGGGTGAATAGCAGGTAGTCCTCGTTCATAGACTTCATGTGGTGAGGTTAGTCTTCTTGGAGTTACTTGAAAATCATTACCAAACACATTTAGTCAATAGTTACCCTTCTCACTTTAATTTAGTTTCTTATAAAGGCAGTGGTTGTATTTGGTTCAAGGCTGGCGACCTACACATTTTATTTGTGTCTTCCCCAGAGAATCCAGCCTCAGCTTCCAGATGAAGATGATGATCACAGTGACAAAGAAGATGAACAACCGCAAGTAGTGGTTTTAAAAAAAGGAGACCTGTCAGTTGAAGAAGTCATGAAAATTAAAGCAGAAATAAAGGCTGCCAAAGCAGGTAAGTCTGAAAGTAATCTGATTTTTCTAACAATTTCAGAAGTCTGGAGTATGAAATTACTTTGTTACGTAATAGTATGGTTTGAAGGAGACAGTTATAGATTCAAGCCTTGGCTTAAGATGTGTGACCTTGAATAAGTTAATTTCATCTCTCAACCTCAGTTTCCTCATCAGTATAATAGGGACAATAATTATACCTACCTTATTGGTTTGTTATGAGAATTAAGTGCAAATTTAAGTAAAAACATCCTGGTTTTTTTTTTAAAAAAAGAGGTGTCTAGGTTTATAAACCAGTCAACCATGGTCTATTAGTGTCTGAAGTGTGATATGTTATATAGAATAGTTTTCATTACTCCTAAACATTTATTACATCGCTTTAGGGGAAAATGCTATAGCTCTAAATAATCACTTTTCAAAATACTTAAAAATACTACCTGATTGTAGTTACTTGGGGACAGGCAGTATATGGAATACTTCCATGAGTTTTTACTGAATGACTGCGTGTCTTGTGGGGCATAATAGCTAGAGGCAGTGGAAAAGACCAGTCTGAATTGATGCAAGGATGTCTTAAATACAATATGAGATTTCCTTACTATCTGACTCTCTGATAAAGGCAAAATAGTAAGGAGAGAAGAAAGTTCTTAAAAATTTGTTTTTGCTTAGATGAAGAGCCAGCTCCAGCTGATGGAAGAATCGTTTATCGAAAACCAATCAAACGCCCCTCAGGTGAAAAATATTCAGGTTTAACAGCAAGCTCAAAAAAGAAGACGACAAATGAAGATGCAATAACTCAAGACTCAGTTAAAAAGAACTCACAAAAGCAAATAAAAAACAGTAGCCTCCTTTCTTTTGACAATGAAGATGAAAATGAGTAAGTGTAAACATTTGACTTAGTCTTCTTGGAAAATATATGTTTGTTTTTTAAATAACACTTTTTCCTATTATAAAGATACTACAAGTTCATTATAGAAAATTAAGTAAATAAACAAATTTAATAAAATAAGCTATCTATGCATTAATTCCCTTCTGACTTGAAATGCCAACTCTGTAGAAATTAACTACCATTAACATTTTGTTATTTCTCATGGGTGTGTATTAAATTATAGATTTTTAAGCAAAATTGTGTAAATACAATTGTATTTTACATGTTCTCTGTCCTGCTTCTCTCTTGATATTATATTGTGAGCATTTGTCCAGGTCAGTAAATTTCAAAAACCTGACATTAATAGCTACAGAGAATGTAATAATTAAACAAATCCCAGGTTGTACCTTTCTCATTAGCAGAATCCCACTTTGGGAGGGGAAGATGATAATGTGCCTGGTTAAAAACACCTCCTCAGCCGGGTGTGGTGGTTCATGCCTATAAAAACCAGCATTTTGGGAGACCAAGGCGAGAGGACTGCCTGAGCTCGGTGGTTCAAGACCAGCCTGAGCAACATGGCAAGACCTCATCTCTACAATAAATCAAAAAATTAGCCAGATGTGGTAGTGCTTGTCTGTGGTTCCAGCTACTCGGAAGGCTGAGATGGAAGGATCACCTGAGCCCACCAGGTCAAGGCTGTGATGGCCGTAAGCATGCCACTGCACTCCAGCTTGACTCTGACTCAAAGAAAAAAAACAAAACAAAACACCTCTCCAACTCCTGCTAAGGGTGGCCATATGACTCAATTCTGACAAGTTAAGAGATACAAGTGGAGTTCTGTTTAATAAAGCTGCTAGGGTGGTTCTTTTGGGGGATTTTTTTTACACAAAAGGACAGACTTGGCAAACGAGCCTTTTCCCTTACCTCTTCATCCTGCTTGGAGTGTGGACATAAAGGCTAAGAGTTCCAAATCCATTTTTAGGCATAAGGAAGGCAGCCATTTGCTTCAGGTGGTATAAGAGCTGTGCTCCTTAATGGCATGCTTCAAGGAACCGCTGCACCAGGGACATATGTGGGTGGGTTAAAAAGTCCTGAAATAGGTTCTCTCTAAAACAGTGGTCCCCAGCCTTTTTGGCATCAGGAACCAGTTTCGTGGAAGACAGTTTTTTAACAGACTGGAGGAGATCATCAGACATTAGATTCTCTTGAAGAGCACACAATCTAGACCCTTGCATGTGCAGTTCACAGTAGGGTTCTTGCTCCTGTGAGAAACTAATGCTGCAGTTAATCTGACAGGAGGTGGAGCTCCACTCCCTCACTGTTCACCTCCTGCTGTGCAGCCCATTTCCTAACAGACCACGGCCCAAGGGTTGGGGACCCATGCTCTAAATTACTTAAACTAGTTCTGAAGCCATTCTGAAATACTGTCTTTTATATGTATTCACTTGTAGTAAAAACCAGGGATTCTATTTTCCTGATTTAAATCATTGTTATATCTATTCTTGTATCAAACTACACTGTTTCAGTTACTGTAAATTGTAATATGTCTTTAATATGTAGAGGTGGGAATCTTGAAGGCAGGGACTTTTATTCACCACTGTGTCCTCAGTACTTAGAAGAATATCTAGCATATTAAGTGCACAATAAATAGTTACAATGAATGAGAGTATTCTCTCTCATTTTCCTTTTACAAACCAGTGGTTCTCAAAGTGTAGGCCCTATATCAGTAGCAACAGAGCCCCCCATGAAACCTAAAAATACAAATTCTTGAGCCTAACCTACTAAATCAGAAACTAGATGTAGGGCCCAATAATCACTGTAGCAAGTCTGCCAGGTGGTTCTGATGGTCTCTCAAGATTGAGAACCACTAAGACTACAGTAATCCCCCCTAAATCATTGGGGATACATTTCCAAGTGGATGCCTGAAACTGCAGAATATATTGAGCCTTACTGTGTTCTATCTATATACCTATGGTAAAGTTTAATTTATAAATTAGGCATATAATTGATGAGATTAACAATAACAAATAATAAAATAGAACAATTTTAACAATATACCATAATAAAAGTTACGTGAATGTGGTCTCTCTTGCCCTCTTTCAAAACATCTTACTGTATTTGTGCCTTGGGTAACTGAGACCACAGAAAGCAAAACTGCGGCTAAGGAGGGACCACTGTATTAGAACTGTAGTGAGATTAAAATGAAAAATTTAAACAAAATATGAAAAACTGTCTATAAGGTCTTAATTCTTGAAATATATCATATTGATAAGGCCTTTATTGCAGGTGATATTTCTAACAATGTAAATATAAGAGCTAACAGCCAAGAAGCATGTCTTGTGATGAAAGCCCAAGGACCAAGATATGGTGGCCTGTGGGATGTGCTGAGCATTCTTAAGGAAATTGCTTCACCTGTCAGCTGCTTTCCAAGAACAGCAGTCCCATTAACTGCAGGATCTGTGTTGCTAAGAGAGGTGAGGGAGTTTGGAGTGAGAGAAGAGAGACTAAGCCTTTTCCACAGTGCTGCTTCTAAGCAATATTGAACAAGTATTTGAAGTACCAGAAGTACAAGGAGTAAACCTTGGTGGAGTCCATGGGATGCTAATTCTGCAAGCTTGCAGAAAGCAAAAGCTGTGGAGGCACTCAGATTTCAAAGGATGTCGTCAAAAGCCTGCCCTTCCTCCCCCCACAGAGACCTGTCATGGAGGTGGAGCCACCACAGAGAGCCACCCTACTGGAGCAACGCCAAGCAGGAAGGTGGGGTTGGAGCTTCTGCAGAGTCCCCACCAAGGCAATGCAATATATAGTGGGTGGAAGCAAGGCTACTACAGAGTCCTCACTAGGGCAGTGCCTAGTGGAGCTCTGGGAACAGAATTACCCCTGGGACCTCAGAACTTTAAAGCCACTGACAGCATGCAGCACTCGGAAAGAGCTCCAGGCACCAGATACCAAACTATAAGAACAGTTATGTGGGCTACACGCGGCAAAGCCATAGGGGTGAAGCTGCCTGAGGACTTGGGGACCAACCCACCCCAGTGTGTCCGGGAAGCAGCAGTCAAAAGAGATTATTTTCCAGCTTTAAGATTTAATGTCTGCCCTCCTGCATTTCAGCCTTGCTTGGGGCCTGCTACTCTTTTCTTTTTTGCCTAGTTCTCCCTTTTGAAATGGAAATGTCTTATGTCTGTACCAGTATTGTATCTTGGAAGCAGACAACTTAGTTTGCATTCATAAGCTCATAGATGAGACTCTGGACTTTTGTGTTGGTGCTGGAACAAGTTAAGACTTTGGAGCTCTGGGGCTGGAATGAATGTATTTGTATGTGAGAAGGAAATGAGTCTGGGGGACCAGGGACAGAATGCTGTGGTTTGAATATTTGTCTCCTTCAAAACTCATGTTGAAATTTAATCCCTGGCTGGGTGTGGTAGCTCACTCCTATAATCCCAGCACTTTGGGAGGCCAAGAGGATTGCCTGAGCCCAGGTGTTCAAGACCAGCCTGGGCAACTTGATGAGACCTCGTCTTACAATAAATCAAGAAAAATTAGCCAGGCGTGGTGGTGCATGCCTATAATTTTAGCTACTTGGAAGGCTGAGGGAGAAGGATCATCTGAGCCGAGCAGGTCAAGGCTGCAGTGGCCGTGAGTGTGCCACTACACTCCATCCTGAGCAACAGAGTGAGACTCCAACTCCAAAAACCAAAAAAAAAGTTTAATACCCAATATGGCAGTGTTGAGAGGTGGGACCTTTAAGAGGTGATTGAGTCCTGAGGGCTCTGTCCTCATAATGGATTAATCCATTCATGGATAAATGGAATAATATGTTAATGGATTAGTGTGCTATCATGGGAGTGGGACTGATAGCTTTATCAGAAGAGAAAGAGCTGAGCTAGCAAGCTCAGCCGCCTCACCATGTGATCCCCTGTGCCATCTCAGGACTCTGCAGAGTCTTCTACCAACAACAAGCTTCTCATTGAATGCATTTCCTCTAACTTGAACTTCATAGCTTCCATAACTATAAGAAATAAATTTCTTTCTAAAAATAAATTACTCAGTTTCAGGTATTCTGTTACAGAAAATGAACTAAGACAAGTTTGATCCACTCATCATAAAGTGTCTTTTCAAACTTTAGTTGGTCATACAGTTTTAAAAAAATGTTTGATGTGATTCTAATATATAAGGGATCAGAGTAGCCAACACCCAAGCCACCCCTACATGAATTACATCAGAATCTGGTGGTAAAATTGAAAATTCTCCAAGTGACTTCAAATTGTAGTCGAGGGTGTAAACCAGTGTCCTACAACCCAGGGCACTTCCTTTTAAGGGGAAAGATACTGTTTGCTAAGTAAGTGGAAAGCCAAAGGCTAAGCAGGGAGGTACAGTATTTCCCATTTTTTGTAGCCCTCAAACTGCCTTATTAAATGTGGCAGTCAAAATTTAGCTGGTCAATAGGAATTAAAGGCAGGACTAAGGTCCAAGCTTGAGGTTGGAATTGGATAGGAGGGAACATTACTAATGATGGCAGCATTACTTAGATAATTTATAAAGACCATTCTTCAAAAAAGAAACCAGAGCTCCTTAGAAAAATGGCTGATTCTAGGGCTGAGGTAAGGATGTTAAAAGCTAATCCTGGGGCAACCCCCTTGGGTCCCCTCCCATTGTGGGAGCTTTTCTGGCCTCTCAATAAATCCTGCTTTAAAATAAATAAATAAATAATCCTGGAACATCTTGTGCTTGAAAAGTAAGGAGGTGCTCAAAAAATGATGGAAGTATGCCAAAAGGATAGAGGAGTCAACTTGCAAGAATGACCAAAGGGCAAATATGGAGCAATTTGAACAAAAAATTTTTAAATGATAGTACATTACAACCCATATGATAAAATTGTATTGCTATGGATAACATAATTTTTTACATGGATGAGAAAGGATAGGTCTTCCTTACAGTAGAATTTTAATTAATAAAGGCAGGAGGAATGATGAAAATAGAAAATCACCATTTGGCAAATTCCACAGTAAAAAATTTTAGTGGGCTGAATGATGGCCTCCAAAGATAACAGGTCCTAATCCCTAGAGCCTGTGACTTACTGTATATAGTAAAGTTGTTTTTTTTTTCCAGATGTGACTGAGTTAAGGATCTTGTGATTTGGAGATTATCTCAGGTAATCTGGGAGGACCCTAAATGCCATCACACCTTTTCTTATAAAAGACAGGCAGAGGAAGATTAGACACAGAGTAGGCAAGGTGAAGATGGAGGCAGAGATTGGAGTGACGCAACTATAAATCAAGGAATGCCA